AATGCATCGCCATCTATGTGTAAATGTGTGTGTAATACTTGGGCTATGGTCGAGGTCTTTGCTTACATTGGTTATGGTATGGTTGGTTGAATCGCTAAGCGTATGACACTTTCACAATTATAGCACCCGTTAACTGTTATACTGTTATAAAACTGTTATACTATTAATTTTCATCAAAATTTTTTCCAAAATTAATTTTTATTTTTTTGATTTTGTTGATTGATTTCCGCGAAAATTGGATGGGAAAACAAAAAAACAATGTTTTTTGTTCACGGATAAAAAAATTTTCCGTGAAAATTTTTATTATCCGTAATTATAGTCAAGACACCAACCTTATCCAACATTTTCGATAAAATTAAATCGTATATCGACGATATCGTATTTTTTGATTATCGTATTATCTTTCTTATTATTTTTTTTCTCTTTCTCTCTCTGAAATGCAGTGGAATTTTTGGGAAAAGCCAGAGTGTAATAAAAATTATTCTCTCACTTGAGGAATTGACTGAAACAGAAAAAACATATTCTTGATTTTTTTCATTTTTGAAATTATTATGTCCGTCCTTCCTTGTTAAGCTAAATTTTTTGTTGATGCCCCTGGGAAATTCAGAGTTGCGAGTTGATGGGTAGTAAAAGAAGGTGTGTGTGTGTTTGTTTGTCAGTAGTTGTTGCCGACCCATTATCCCCCATTATCATCTATCTATCTATCAATACTAGGCTAGTAAGCGGTTAAATCTAGAATTTTGAATTTCAGCAAAGGCGCATTTAGTAATGAATGCAAATTGATATATAAAGTTCTGGCGTGATTAATTATTTTCAGGTAACTCGAATGATTATGAAGAAACAGATTGATATATTTGATTGCGGATATTTCAGGTTTTTTTACATGACAGTCAAATCGATTGAGTAATGTCCCTCGGGCTGCCTGTCTGTCTGACTGATTCCTATGAAAATAGAATGCGATGATGGCGTTGAAGCAGAAAAGGCCACCAGAAAGAAATACAAAAATATGAAGAGATTTTCAGAGACCAACTGTGCCTCACCATATGGAGTAGAAAAATCCTTGAATGGGCAGCAAAAAAAGGTTTTAGACTTTGATTGGGCAGTGTCGTCGGAGGTGATTGGGATTTTAAAATTTAAGGTTTATACCCTACACCACGAAATTTAATTTCGCATTTCATCACCACACTGTGGTACAGGGTATTATGTCTTTGTGCATATGTTTGTAACAGGCAGAAGGAGCGAGATAGACACATGGCTCTTTTTGAGAATACACATAGAATCAATTTCTAAGTCGATTATGCATGTCCGTCCGTCTGTCTGTCTGTCCATGTTACATTGTAAACAAAGTGAAGGTCGCATTTTTGATCCGAATTGAATGAAATTTGGCACAGGTTGAAATTGGGAAAAATCGGTGTACCGACGTCCCTATATATCTTTCGATTTGCACAAAATTGTGCATGGCTTACAGAATTAAGTCTAGAATGATGTGTGCTAATTTTCGTGGAAATGTGATTTAGATATATTTCTTATACATTTTTTCTTCCGCTTTTATGTAAGTTGTACACTAAAGACACGAAGTTTGTCGATTGCCACATACTTTTGTGACCGCTACCGTGAGATGATATCCAAAATTGAACTATTATAGTTTTCGCACAGTGGTTATCCCAATGTATTGCCCATTAAAAATATATTTTTTCAAAATAAATTTTTTCTCAAAATTCCTGTTTCAAAAAAATCCGAATAAAATATTTTTGAAAAGTAAACGAGATGAACATTTTTATGGTACCTTCAGATCAGTGGTTCTCCGAATATTTTGCCCTTTAAAATATATTTTTTCTCCAAATTCAAAAAAAAGCTTTCATATTCCATACGGTACCTTCAGATAAGGCGTAGGTATTATAGTTCCCGCACAGTGGGTCTCTGAATATATTGCATTAAAATTATATTTTTCAAAGTAAATTATTTTATCTAAATTTTTATTTCAAACAAAATCTTAATAAAATATTTTTGGAAAGTGAAGGAGATGAGCTTTGGTTTGGTATCTTCAGGTCAGACGAGATATTACTGTTCCGCACAGGGGGTCTCCGCAAATATTGCCCTTCAAAATTATATTTTTTCAAGATAAATTGTTTTTTTCTAATTTTTGAAAATTAGAGGATATGAGCTTTAATAAGGTACTTAAACAAAATATTTTCGAAATGTAGAGGATATAAACTTTCATATGGCACCATTAGATCGTAGGAGTAGTTCTTATAGTTCCGGTACAGTGGTTGTCCGAATGAATTTGCCTCTTAAAATTATATTCTTTCAAAATACATTTTTTCTCAAAAATTTCTGTTTTAAAAAATTCTGGATAAAATATGTTCGAAAAGTAGAGGAGATAAGCTTTCATACGGTACCATCGGATCAGAAGAACCGCACAATGGTTCTCCGAGTATATTGTCCTTTAAATTTCTATATTTTCAAAATAATATCTTCTCTCCAATTTTCTGTTTCAAAAAATTTAAAATAAAATATTTTCGAAAAGTAGAGGAGTTGAACTTTGGAAATTAGAGGATATGAGCTTTAATAAGGTACTTAAACAAAATATTTTCGAAATGAAGAGCATATATTTCATATTGTACCATTAGATCGTAGGCGTAGTTCTTATAGTTCAGGTACAGTGGTTCTCCGAATGTATTTACCCCTTAAAATTATATTCTTTCAAAATACATTTTTTCTCAAAAATGTCTGTTTCAAAAAATTCTGAATAAAATTTTCGAAAATTAGAGGAGATGAGCTTTCATACGGTACCTTCAGATCAGAAGAACCGCACAATGGTTATCCGAGTATATTGTCCTTTCATTTTCTATATTTTCAAAATAATTTTTTCTCTCCAAATTTTAACCATAATGGATATTGGCCAGCTTTATCGGTATTGTTCTTAGAAGATGGAAATATCAGTCCACTACTACTCTACAAAATGTTAAAAATTCCCGAAAATTTATTTTATAATTGTGCTGAATATATCGTGTAAACCCCCCAGGCTTGTCGAACTAAAAAGTAACAAAGCAGCAGCAGAAGGGTGTTTAATAATTCGACTACAGAACCGCAGCTGAGTTACACCAATATGCACAAGCTACAGGTATTCATAAACCATTGCCTCAGCATCATATGCAGAATATTCTGGCGCAACACCATAAATAACACATGTGGAATCTAACGAATCAGGAATCAATGCAACAGCAGAATAGGATGTGGGGTGAATTGGCCACACCTTAAGAAAAAATGTCCATAACATAACCAAAATGGTGTTTGAACGAAATTCCCAAGGTTGAGGAAATTGAAGTCGATTAAGTAATACCTGGTGACGACCTAAGATAAAATAACTTCACATGGGAAGTTCAGAATCTACCTGAATTAACTGTTTAAGAAGGCAATAAATTGTGGAAGCCCTGAGCTACCAAGAGTGCTTAAAGGGAATATCATATTTTAACTAGACCTATATAATGTTTGAAGAATGGGCTTATCGATCGACTCCTTCCAGTACGCCTCCCGCAAAGGAACCACATTTTATAAACAACAATATCCAAACTGAATGGATTACTCAATTTGATCTAAACTATGCACACCTAAGACTTCAAACAAACACAGATCGGGTTCGAAAACGGGACACACACGTTCACCTCTTCTGGGACCTCAAAAGGTCCAAATTTTAAACTTTTAAATTTAATATGAAGCACATAGATTATCCGATTTAATTCATTGAATACACCTCGTATTATTTTTCCCATCCTACATTAAATTTGAATATGCAGGACAACAGGACTACTTATCGGGGTAATACAAACATATACATTATTTGATAAGTGAATTCTGTGTGGTATAGACTTGGCAGATCATACATTTTTATTAACCATTGTTTCCATGATTTTCGCTACCAAATACATAAATCACAGCCTCGACACAACATAGTAATTCTGTAGAGCTCCTGCTAATCTGATAGCATAAAATTTATAATAACACTGTCCACTCATGAAGGTCTTGATATTTCAAGGAATCTGATAGTGGGTACAAAAAGTTCAGCCGGATCACAATTAACATCCTTTATTGTCTGTAATTTAACATTTCAGTTTGCCAATGAGTTCAAATTTGAAGTCCCGTATTTTTGTCATAATACTAGGACTCATTCCCCCTCCACATTATTCGCATTGAATGAATGAAATACAAACTCCAAATCATTTATTGCAATTTGTCCAAAGTGTATTCAACTTTTTATTTATATTGGAATTGTGTGAGAAAAGCCATTTTGACATTAAAAAACAAAAATAAATAAAAACACACACTCATACGCCGCTTGAAAACTATAGAAAACATGTGAATGAACCCTGCGGTAATTAAAATTTTCTGCATTTGTTTTTTTGTTTTTTAATAAACTCTGTCATTCATAAATTATATCTTTTAATTGATAATATATTGAATAAATATTGAAAAATATTTGTTTTTAACATGGTCGCATTATTCTTATAGTTAGTACTCTTTACAACATCTCTGTGTTATCGAATACGGCCAGCTGACATTTATCGTTTCTGTGCTCTCTCTCATCGATAGCAGCAACGATAATTCTCTTATTCTCTGTGTACAAAATTGGAAGGCAGGATTAGCAATTTCCTCACTTTACGCTCGGCGGAAATAAAATAAACATATTTCAGCTAACAAACACGGATAGAATTAAAAATAGAAAAGCTTCAGCTAATAAATAATTAATTACAATTTAAACGAAAAATACAAATAAAAAATAAATAAAACAAACTGCCTAAAAGAAAAGCAAAAAAGAAGTCATTTGTCATGTCAAAGTGGTAGAAGGGTGAGGCAGTTGGAAAAAAGTTTAATAGTTGTGCAAGAATTTACAAAGAAACAAACCAACAAAAAATATGAATAGTTTAGTGACAAATAAAGATAACCAATAAGCCAACTAAAAAGCAATTAACCAATAAAATACTACATACACCAACAACAACGAAATGGAAGTGTTTCAAACAGATAATTATTACATTTTTGTAAAACGAGAGAAAAGTCTTTGGTGGAATAGGACAACATCGGAATTTGCCATTAAAGCTGGTAAGATTAAACATTTCAATTATGGCATGATTAGACAAGAAAAAAACAATCTCAATGCCCTTCATTAAGACATACGCTACTAATTACATTCAACTGTATATTAAGAGAACTAATAAAACCAATATATCCCAACATAAACAAATAAAATAGGAATGAAAGAAAGAAAAGTTCCTCTGTTTCTAATGTGACAGATGACTCACACACATTTGTGGCATGTTAAAGCACAAAACCTTTTGTTGTTGTTTGTTTGCTTGCTTCGCTTTTTTTGTATGGCAAAACGGGTTGCATTTCAGCAATTTGAAATAACAAATAATATATATATTTTATTTTTTGTGATTACTGCCAGTCAGCAAGTCTGTTTTGTATTTTATTTGTAAGGCGTTAACCCAATGCCTAATTGATTTCAATCACAGCCTTTAACGACCATTGTTTTTTGTTCTCCAAAATAATCATAATACTATATAAACAGTAAATTGGTATACAACTGCGTTCTGTTTGGTTAATGGTAACGATTTCGAGGGACGTTGCTTGTTGTATCTTGACTTATCTCCGGAGAGGCACCAGAAGAGGCTGCCCTATATACCTCATCTTCAGATTTAAAGTAGGTTTGGTATAATATTGCGATCTGTAAGCAATGAATAAAATAGGAAATTCAATTTGCTTCAAATTAAATATGCTTATGTTGACCCTTTGTGAGGGAGGTACCAGAAGAAAAGGGCCGACGGATCTTATCTTTCAACATGATCTATGCAAGGTAAACATATTACGATGTGCAAAGTTTCGATAAAATTGAATATTCCGCTCGTTTCACATAAGATTTACAAAGTTTCAAAAGTCAGTTCCAGCTCAATTTTGGTAATTTTGTAGGGAAGATACCAGAAGGATTGTACTGATTTTCCCAATCTTCGATTTAAATTTGAGTTTCATAGATATATTAAGATGTGCATAGTTTGAATTAAATCGGACATTCGTTTAGCCTATTTTTGATTTATAAATTGAAAATTTTGACCTTTGTGGGGAAGGTAACAGAAAGTGTGGACCAAAGTGTCGCATCTTTGGACTTAATCCAGGCTTGGTAATGATAATAGGTTTTGTTTGGATTAATTAATTAATTTACAGCGCAATTTGGACTATTTTGTGGGTGAGGTACCAGAAGGTGTGGACCGATATTAGCCATCTTCGAATTCAAACTAGTTTAAAGGAAAAATTTGGATGAAATCGGTTACTTCCTTCGCGAGTTATGGTGTACATGTGCCGGCCGGACGGACGGACAAAAAATTAATTTGGAATTTTTCTTTTTTTGCATTTATGATGGACGATATAAACTGATGGCCAAAACGCAACTAAAATTGCACACTGAATAAATAACCTTCAACATTTTTGCGTGGCCAAAACTAAACTAAATTTTTGATTTTTTCTTTTAAATAAGCAAATTTTGCTAGTAATCAGCAGCATAACCATTATTTTTCATTAGGACAGCATACCTACAAGGCATTGAATCAATAAAAGGTTCAATTTGATCCTTGCGTATACTATTCCTTGCATGCTGAACCTTTGGGAAGATGTTATATCTGCCTATCTTTTGATTTTGCTATTTCTGATACTCCAAAGATGTATCTATAGGGTGAAGATCAGATGATTGTGCTGCCCATTACAAAGCCTAATTTTTGACTCCCTCAACCAGTTAGTACCATATTTCGGGGTATGTTTGAAGTTATTGTCAAGATAATACGGTATATTTTCTTCAACAAAGGAAACTATAGCCTTTTCAACACATTTCTATAAACAATCCGATCGATTACTTCATAAATCTTTGAAATAGATCGAACTCCATAAACAGAAAAACAGCCCAATACATTATTAACCCACCTTCACAGAGTGTTCTTGTAATACGGAGGCCTGAGACTTTTATTTTTATGCCTTGATATGAGTTTTTGCGAAAGCCAATCTGGTTTTCGACATTTTGAAGGATTTACCCAATTTTTTTCAATTGATAAGGCCGATTGATAAAGGTTCCTGGAAGGCTGATTTATGTACAAATTTGTGTGGTGTATAGGTCCAAGTTTTGGCAAAACCCCACATAAAAGTTTCGCTTTCGAATTTTGTCATAAATGGACAATTTAGTGAATAAATGGGTGTTTATGCACATTCTATGGGTGTTTATGTTTACTCCGGAAAAAGCATTTGATACTGTCAATCAGGCAGAGCTGTTCAAGAACGTTGTATGAGCTACAACCTATTCAAGTTTAAAACGTTGGATCATGATGTATATTTGTAGACGCCAGTCCACTTTGGAAATTTCCTTTTTTTAAGTCTACAGAATGACTCAAACAGGAAATTCCCCAAGGTTGGGGTGATATCTCCGCCCGGGTTAAATTGATAGGAATCCTGTTGATATAGTTGAGCTTTTCCATACGAGGAATATGAAACATGGACAGAGTAAATGTAAATAAAAATATGTTCGGTCTAGATTTAGAGTTTATAAATATGGTCTCGATATTGGATTATTATTTATGTGTTGAAGTGGTTCTAGATCCTATGTAGGAGTAATCATGACGTCTGAAAATCAGTACTTGTGGTTATTTAGGAACGAAAGTATCGCATATTTCATAAAGTAAAGAATTTTACTTGAATACACTTCTTAATAAATTAATCGTACAAACACTAATATAAAATACATTCTAGCTAATTGTTGAACCATATAACACATTACTAATATCAAGAGAAATCCATAAACACTCAATTTCATTCTTGATAAATGAATAATATCAAACAGTATTACTTGCATTTAGTAGTAGTGTTGAGTAAAAACTGCTGACATGTATATTTTTAAACTCAAATTGTTGTGGTTTTTTGTGAAAATTTGATATTCAGTTATTGCAAAAGTAAAAAAAACCCAACAAAAGTCCTCCCTTGCTCTTGCCAATCATACACGCAACCGTAATTATCCATTCTTAATTTGAATGCTTTCAACTTTCAATCAAACGGTGGACAGTAGCAGCGCATGTAAAGTGTCAAGTAATCACATAAGTTTCAAATGCAATTATTGTCACTATTATGTATGGTATGAAGAAAAATGAATATAGGAATATCGATATTATTTCGAATATCATTGTTGTTATGTTTAATATGGAAAAAATAAATTATACACACTTATAGAGTTTATTTAATAAGTACAGCGACTATGACTAATCTTTTAGGAAGTTTAGCTTTTACGTAGTAGAATGCATTTTTGAAGGTTATGTTCAAATACAATTATCGCACAATCTCTAATAAAATAACATGCGTACCAGATTGTAGATAAAAATTATATGTGTTTTCGGTTGTATACAACAATGGTTTATATTTAAGGTGGAGTGTGTATTAAATGTATCATTCCGTTTGCAACATATCGAAATATTCGTCTAAGTTCCCCTGACGTAATTATGCCTGATCGGTAAAAAATTCTACGTCGATTTAGTTGTTGTTGTAGAAAATGAAATACAAGAAAGGAAATCCATTTGTAGTAATATTTTAAAGGACTATCCTTTATTCAGTCCTGGCTTACATGTGGCACAGACTAGTGAGTGCTTATTTTCCACCGAGTCTTAGCTTCTTCTTAACAACCGAACCTGCTCTAATCTACAGCATAATTAGAAACCTAAAGTGGTTGGGAAAGTGCAACCTTGACATGTAATATATCTTCTGTCTGATCTCCATAGCCATCGACATTATTCCAAACTTACCTTCTTATATGTTTCTGTAAGCTTCTCATCTCTCTTTATTTACCCAATCTTCTCTCCACTATAGATCTCTTCTTATCTCTTTTCTTTTTGTGGATGATCACAACGGACCTAACGGTCTCAGAGTGCTGCAGCCACATAAGTGAAGTATTCATGCAGCTCTAAGCATGGATTTTTCAAGGGCTATCCGAGCTTTTGGCATGGATTTTTTAATCCATGCCGAGAGCCATGTATGCTGGATAATCTTCGAGCATAGCATTCATTCGGTCTGTTGGTATATACATTAAGGATTCACGCTTATACTTGTTGACCTCTCTCTCTCTCTCTCTCTTTCACCATATCATGAATGTCTCTTCTGACTTGAAGTTCTCTCCTGTCTGCTTCGGCAGATTGTTTTGATTGATGGATATGATCTTATCCTTCTCTTGAATTTGGTCTACTGGTGTCATGAGAATAGTTTGAATATTCTTCCGCTGTACTTCACTCTTAGGTGTTTCCTTACCAAACGGAATTCCCATCGCTGATCTAATTTTGGTCTTGGATTCTACACTGCAGTCGGGGTAACCAAGGTTTCTTTGGAGTTTTCACTCTTGACTACTTTGTCTTCGGTGGTTAAATGTCTCGGAGGTCCTTGCTCATCCACCATTGCCGAAGCAGAGACGGGAACATCCCGACTCGAGGGGCCCACATCCTTTCGTTTCATATATGACGACCACTTCTGACTTGGAGGTGAGTTTCGTCCCATATGTCCTCCGGAATGCTGCCCTGATTCAGGTGGAAACTTCCGTAGTCCTCAATTACGTCGAGGAGCGCTTCACTCTCTTCATTCAGTATTGATGCCATTAAGAACAGTCTTGAAGTTGTCCCCGCCCGTAGTTGAGGCGGTCTGCGTTGAGAGTGATAGAGTGCTTTGTTAAATTGTTGATATAACAATTTGCTCCCTCTGGCTATTACCTAGGAGTGAATGTTAGGGCTCACGGATGATATTTGAGTCCAGGATCGAAGCGATCATAATCCTTTTCGACCATTGTAGGAACTATTCATTGTCGAGGAACATTGTAGGAACTATTCATTGTCGAGGTGTTAAATTTCAATATGTGGTGTTAAATGCTGTATATATTTATGCTGAGGAGACTGCGGGTGTCTCGTGTTCCATCACGAATCGGACGTCGACGATGAATTAGGCACAATATAACTCTAAACCAGTTTAATTCGGAACAACCTTAAGTATCCACCCACTGCACATATACATTACATCTCGCCGAGATAGATCTGTGG